AAAGGAAAAAAGAAACTTCAACCATCCATCAACTGTCCTGACTCACAAACACGTGAGCCTTCCACCTCACATACTGACAGCTTAACCACCTCAGCTCCTCTGTTTGACGATACATATATACAATGTATATATATATATACGGTGAAACTCCGACGAAACAGTTTGTCACAGCCCCTCGTTTGTTGTCCTCTTCTCTCTCTCTGCCTACGGTTTACCGGGCAGTTCTGTTTGTGACGATATATATATAGGATTTGAAACCTTAACCTATGGTTTTGGAGACCATTGTTAACGAAGTGTGATTGGTTTATGGAGTTTGCACCTATTTGTGTGTATTTGGTCATTAGTTTACTACTTTCTTTGATCTTAATTGGCCTTTCTTTCTTATTTGTTTCTTCGTCCAGCCTAACTTATCCGGAAAAACTGTCATTCATTCTTTTTTCTTTTTTTCGCTTTTGCGCTCTCATATTCATGTGATGATATATATATTTTTTTGGTTCTGTATGTTTGTATTTTTTTATATCTATATTTATTTTAATTATTTATGATATATTGACACTCTCTTACGTGTATCAACTCACTCGGGTTAATTCACCATTTTTTTTCATTCCCAGAAATACAAAATCATTTCGAAATTTGAAAATTTAAACACCTTCGCGGTTATCTTTTTCATTTCATTTTTTTTTGTCACTTCTGCTCGACGGTGTGTAAGAATATTCTTGACAGATAATTAGTAATTACGTAATCCAATCGTTTTTTTTTTGTTTTTTTTGGTGGGGTGTATTCTTCAGTTTGAGAATGGCAATCAAGGAAATAATGTTATCTAATACATTCTGTTTTTATGAGATTTTATTTTACTGTATGTTACTTCTGGCGTACTGGTACAATATTTGTTTACGGCAAAAAAACAAACAAACTTTATGATAATACGAAAGAAAGCACATGTCGTTGTCTTTCCCTTTTCTTCTTTCCTTTCGTGCTCTTCCGTCATTGCTTATAACCATTATTTTTGTAAAAAAAAAAAAAAAAACCTCAACCCCTCCCTTTTTCTCCCCCCTCTCAAATCCCTCCCTTCCTCCTTCTCCCCCCCAACCCCCTTTACACCCTCTCCACCCTTCTTCCCCCCCCCTTTGCCTTTTCGCTGTAGGTTAATACCGCCTTAACCCTTCGGTTTTGTTCAGTTCGCCCCCCCCCCTCTTTTCTTACAGCAGGGAACTTTGGGAAAAGACAAGAGGAAATGAAATCAAAACACGTTGTACGACCTCCCTTTTTTTTTTTTTTTTTTTTTTTTTGGGACCAGTGGTGATGGGGACTACACGATGTGCAAGAGAATGATGTAGATCCGGATTGTCAGCAATTATTACGAACAAAAATAAATATGAAAATGGATCAAATATGAAAATGAAACAAAATTACAGTAAAAATAGAAAAATAATGTATTAAAAAAAGCCGAATATTGCAATGAATTAAATGTAGAAAAAAAAGAACACAAAAAATTGATGTGAGGGAACGGTGTAATTTGGTTGTGGGTGTACCTGTGCGAGATAATGATGTAAGTGCAGAGGATTAAAAGGAAAAAATGGAAAAATAAGAGTATAGGCGAGAGGCTCAGGCCGAGGTTGAGGGGTCTATATGGCGTGCTGGCGGCCACTGTTTTTGTTTTTTGTTCGGGGATAAATGTTTTTTTTTCTTTTTTCTTTTTTTTTTTGGGTGCCTGGGCCAATGTCCCACTTGCATAGAGGATTGGATTTATGCTCCTGAATCTGGAGGTGATTTGAGCAGAGAGATGCAGAAAATCACACTTCAATCTCGACATTCTGCACTTTTCCACAATCGCGTCCCGGTTCAGGCGTTCAATCCAATCCTCTTTGCTAGTGGGACGTCGCTCCCACGGTACACTGGGCCCTTAATAACAAAAAAATTGTTTGGGTGCAAAGAAAATTAAATTGTTTGGGTGCAAAAAAAAAAGAAGTCAGGAAAAGAAAACGGCAGTGGTGGCGATGAGGAAGGTAGTGATTTTTACAGACAGAACTAGTTTCTTTTTTTTTTTTAGTTTTTTTTCGATTTTTTTTTTTTTTTTTTTTTTTTTTAGTGGGGGAGGGATGGGGTTTATGGTTTCGTGTGGGCGAGAGGAAATAAAAAATATAAATAAATATGTAATTCACCTTGTTTGCGCGGGCTCCCGTCCGTGCAAGGACAAGATAAACTCTTATATGAGGTCCCAGCAAAAAAAAAATAAAAAAAAGTCCAAAGATTCTGTGAAAATAAAAATTATGCAGAAAAAAATAAACTGAAAGTTGTTCCTTTTATTTTTCTGCCGGACCTTTTTTTACCCCTCAGGGTCACATCGAAATTCTTTACCAAATTAAAATTAAAAATTAAATTAAACTAGGCTACCAGATTGGCCTGGGGAACGGTCCCACTACCGGTAGCAACGGGGCCGAGGTCCCACTAGCGCATTGAACCCCTGAATCTGGACGCGTTTACCTTTGCATGGTATCGAGCTTGAACTGCTTTTATGAATATCTGGTTGAAACACGTCCAGATTCAGGAGCTTAATCCAATCCTCTTTGCTAGTGGGACCTCGGCCCAGGATAAGCCTTAACAGGCCTAACTATTAACTATATCCGTGCAACGTGTTTTTTTTTTTTTTTTTTTTTTAGCATCATTTTTTTTTCCGAATTAAATAAATCAGGACAACGTAGTAGTCCTATCCGTTAAGGCCGTCCATTCCACGCAGATCTGACGGCACTGCTTTTTTCATCAATTGTTTTAGTTCGTATCCCGTTTTTCCTATTTTAGAATGAAAATGGACCGGCCGCCCATATTGGCCATATATGCATAAAAAGGAGAAAAGAAAACGCATCGGGGAGGGGGGTCTTCTCTCTAAAGCTTTTTTTTTTTTTTGAATTTTTTTTTTTTTTTTAAGCTCTACTTTTTTTTTTCGGGTGGAGGGCAGTCACGGGTTCTCCATTCAGAAAAATGGCGTATATATAATATAATGAAATTAAAAAAAAAAATGAGTTGGGGGTTGGCCTGTCAAAATGGGAAGCGCCGTCCTTCAACCCCATGAGTTCAGCGCATCAGAGACGTGGTAGAGAGGCTGGCGCAGCACTGTAATGTATCGGCCGCATAAAAGAGCCGTATACATTTCCAATGAAATTTCCCTGTCAGGCTCAGCCGCAGGATCACTACGGTCTTTCACCCGAATAGAACGCCCGGTAATTATCGCCGTATCTGGGCGGAAAGTTGTGCCAAATACAGCTATAATGACCGGGCGTTATATTCGGGTGAAGACGGTAGCAACCGAACAAGGAGATTTTTCATGCAAGGCGGGAACCACTAGCAGGATTCGGATTGCTCGCACATTTTGAATGTATCGGACCTAGGACATGTCCAGATACACTTAGTGTGCTGTATAGTCATTTTGAATGTATCTGACCTAGCACATGTCCAGATACATTTGGTATGTTGTATAGTCTTCCTCCTCCCTCTCTCTCGCATGTGTTTGTTGTCATTGGCTCTGTGTGTGTGTGTGTCAGCGCGCCTGCCCACCCACCCGCTGGAACTGCTCAGCGTGCACCACCGACTCCACTACTCTCCACATAAGCACAAAAAAAATAAAAAATACGGCGGTGTATCTTCCCATGTTCTAGCGGAAGATTCATTCTCATTTTGCACATTTGGTGAGTAGTGGAGCCAGAGCCTATCTTTCTACTGCACTCACTGAAACTGCTCCGTGCTTCGAAGACAGAAATAAAAAGCCCCTGATTTCTTTTTATTTTTCTGTATTTTTTTTATTATTTCTTGAAGTGTTTTTAATATAGAAAACACTTTCTCTATTTTTTTAATTATTTATTGAAGTGTCTTTAATACAGAAAACACATGTTGCACGGATATAGCTAATAAGACTTCCCGTTGATACGGTAGTGGGACCGTGCCCCTGTGGGACCACTTTTGCCCGACCGGTCCAAAAATTAATTAAAAAAAAAGAAAAAAAACGTTTAATTTAATTTTGTTATTTTAAATTTGGTAAAAAAATTCGATGTGACCCTGAGGTAAATCCTACCGGCTGTCCCCTACCTAGCCGGTATCGCCCACCTGCAGGTCGGGAGCAGCCCCCGGGGCCTCGTCCCACTTGCAGCGTTGAGTTGAGCTACCTCAACGGTGTGACAGCTTTTCAAGCATTTTTTTATTCCGTAGAAAAGAAGCATGCATTTGTCTTTTATTTTTTATTTTCCCCCCCACACATTTCTTTGGAATTTTCGTTTTCTTTCCCGTGGAGCTAATCGATCCATGTCACTTGCCCCATTAGGAAAGTCGACAGGTCTTTTTCCATCTTTCCATCTGGCTCTCTCTCTCTCTCTCTCTCTCTCTCTCTATGTGTGTGTATGTGACGGATGTAGATATTGTGAACCTGAATGGGAAGTTGTCCACATTCAGGGCACATGAACAGACAGTGCAGCGGCGGATAAACAGCTAGAAAGAACATTCCCGTGAATAGCAGATAAAAAAAAAGATCAAAAGAAGATAAAGAAAGCGAGGACAACGGATGACTGAAACG